CACCAGGATGTAGAAGTAGCCAACATGTTAGTCTCTATGAACTGAGTTTCGAAAGTACCTCATTTTTCTTTATGAGGGATTCTAGATATTGAGGACGATTCCTCTTTGCCCAGTCTCTTTGTAGAAATGACATTCGTCTAATGACTTGTCTTTCTTCTGCTTCTTTTGTTTGTTGCCTATCCTCTGAGGCATCTTCTTGCTCGTTCATTTCTTTCTACCATTTTTGCCTCCTTCAACAAGCATGACCACTGGCTTGTCCTTTCTAATCAATTCTTTATCTCTCTGTAACATATTGTCGAGCTCTTATAAGCTAGTTGTTAGCTTGTTCATGTTGTAGTTCATGACAAATTGATTAAAGGATGTGGATAGAAATTTTAAGATGGCATCAATCTTAGTGTCATCATCGAACTTAGAACCAAGATCCTCTAGTTCATTTATAAAACCTATCATCTTCATGACATGGGCATAAACTAGTTGGTTCTTGGTCATCTTGGTGGTCATCAATAATTTGATGTGGTGCAGAACAATTTGCTCCTTATCCATAGTCTTTAGACTATCTAGAATATCTTTGTAGTTTTTTACTTTGTCAAATTGCCTTTGGATATAGTAGTCCAATGAGGCAATGATGTAACATCGGACAAGAGAGTTTTTCTCTTCCCATTCTTGATATTCCCTTCTTCTTGCTTTAGAGGCTCTATTAGGGGGCATTCTAGTGCTAGGTTGGTGGCAATTTTGTTCAATTTCTCTGATGTGAGAACCAAGTTAAGGTAACAAAACTAATCTATGTAGTTTGGTCCATTGAGTTTGTTGTCATCTAATAATTTAGCGAATTGTCTATGTGCAATTTCTAACAAATATCATGCATATATTAGCCCACAGCCTAATTATTGTTTCATGTTATGTACCGTAGAAAGGACTTTTATCTACGTTCCATTTCTATTTGTTCATCTCTGAGATTTCTCTCTATTTTAGAGGCAGAGACATTTTTCATATCTCTGGAAGTGTAGGAAATCATATAGGTGCATGGGGCCAACTATTTCAGCTATATAACCCCATCACTTTCTGTGAAGGATCACGTATCCACCCTTTTGATGAGCTTTCCCTTTGGCCTCCATCAAACAAGGTTCATTGTCATTTTATGTTAAATCTTTTTAACTGGTAAGTGCTGACTCATCATATCGGGAGGCCCAACGTATTGTGAAAGAGTTTTCCATTTTAGGATAGGCCCCTCCCACTAGTCTATGATGTCCCTATCATTCTATGAAGCAATTCCACTGGTTCCAGTAAAGACAGATAACTTAATTTATGGTGCATCTCTGCCCACCAATTTGGGTTGCTTTCATGCTAAATGATAAAAGGCCCAACGTATTGTGAAAGATATCATCATAAGGAAATAAGTATATTAGTCCATATGTCAGATTTAGGTCTTACCATAATGGCTCCCACTAACTTTCATAAAATCATATTCAAATGGACCCTAAATGGGTTAGGATTCCCAAGAGGTTCATTTTTGGAGAGGAAATAAGAGGAAGGCCCATTAGAGGGAGATCATACAATAATCCATGGACATCATGGAAATTATGTGCATTCAACCATGATGGCTGTGGAGAGCAACACAAGTCTTTTTATGGGCCAAACACTTATGGTCCATACATGAATCACATTCACATAGCACATCACATACAAAATTGACCAAAATCAAATTAAAACTTGTAAAACCTCCAATTAGATTAACACATAACACATGATTGCCCCATTAATGGACATAATTATTAAATAATATTTATCTTGGTATATGAAACCAATTACAAAAGGAAGTTTGGCCCATATAGCTATCCATGCTGAAATGGGCTTAACTTGCTTTAATCTAATTCTAATTAGGTTTTACAGGCATGGGCCGAATTAATCCATCCAGTGGTCCATCAAACCCCTGGTCTATATCCAAAATTGATCACTTATACAGTGATCCAAAGGGCTGTTAACAGTTCCCAAACAACCATAGGTTCAACTTATGTAAGTGGGACCAAAACTAGGTCAAATTGGCCTAGGACTTGGTGCCCAAAACATGCTTCAATCCACATAAATTATGATATGAAAATTCTCAATTATGATTCACAATCATATAAGCAAATAAATAGCAATTAATCAAAATTAAATAACTAGGGCTGATAGTGTAATGGTTCAAATTCAATTAAACAAATGCAGGAAGCCATCAAATTGCTATCTCTAGATCGACTTTCCCTACTCTCTTTCTCCATTATCTCTAGTGATTTTTCCAACATAAATAAAATAGAACAACTCTAATTTCTTATTCTGACATTAGAAAGAAACCTAATACATTTTTTCTAGAAAAGAAAAGATTTAATTATAGACCAAATAATTAAATTAATCAAACGGTGTGCATGAATCTTGCCACCATCAAAGATTTTGATTCCATCACACTTTTAGCCCAAGAATTCAAGAATTCATAATATAAAAATTCTATAATATATCAGAAATTATAAATATTAATATTTACATCATTGGCCTAAAATCTAAGAATTGAATTCTTAGTTTTTCATGTTGACTAGGTTAAATAGACTTGACTAGTTCTTGCCAATTTGATATTTCTTTCAAATCTGATTCTATTCAGTTCAAGAACTGAACTATGTGCTCTGATACCACTGTTGGAAGGGTTTAGAATCTATCATATGGATAGCTGAACCATGATAGATGGTTAGGTGAAATTTCAAGAATTTTTCTAACCCTTATGGGAACCGATTTCCTGGTGAATTTGTAAATTAATTTTTTTGGATCGATTTTGCACTAAAATGGACCATATTTGAAACCAAATAAAAATGAGAAATTATACTTAATATAGATACCACAAGCGTAGATCCCAAGGTGGAAGTTCATGCCCAAATCAGTCATAAAACTAGCCACCACTGAAGATGGCGCAGTGTGTAGGTGAAGTCGATTCAGCAAAATTATTTTCAGCAAAACTGTGATCCAACTAGCTTGAATCGAATGAGGCAAGTTAGCTTGATTTTCTTCAACGTTTTTTTTTTGTAAAAACAAGAAGAAAAATTGATAAAAAAGCAGTTCTTCAAAGACTAGGTCATGATAGGATTTCTTGGGAGACAAAGAGAAGATGAGAGAACAAGAGAGAGGTGTTCTAGTCTATTTCACCCCCTTCTTCTTTTATCTTCTTATGGAGCACTCTCCTAATCAAATTAGGAAATTATTCAAATCTAATTTGGATCTGGACTCTATTAAAAAACAAACCTTATCATCTTAAGAGGATAGGTGCTCTATTGATTTGACCCAGATCACATGAAGTTGCCATGTGACAAATAAATCTTATTAATTATGGGCCTTAAGCCCATCTACTTCAAAGGCTCACAACCCAAGGTGTTGCATGGCCACTTTAGGCCTGATATTGTAGGGCGTTGAACCCTACAATGATCTCAGATAAGCTCACATGAGTTCGACCCAACCTTTGAAAGAGACTATGTCAAATTCACTACTCAGGGCAGTGAGCCTTTGACCCAATCAACATTGGTCCAGTTTGAGCCCAACATTTACACATGAGTGATCATCGTATTCAACCACCCTATGAAGACACAAAGATAATGAATTTATATATGACAAAGCCCATCAGGTAATCATCCTTATAATAGTCTCTTACACTTAACCTCTCAGCCCATAATGATCAAAACACTACGCAACAGGGATGTACCTCTCCCCTGGCTACAAAGTGCAGTGCCACACTTTCTACTTTGATGTATCTCAGGGTTAAAACCTTTTGCAAACATTTTTCATAAAATTGTAATATATATTATATAAATACAAATTGCAAAACCAAATTTCAAACATAGGTGAAATCCATTGCAAGCCGTTTAGGTTTCCATCAGAGAGAGTGTAAACCTTGATATTCACTTTGTCTGACAAAGGGGTCGATTCTATCACTATGATCACCCACTTAGGCGAATTCTTAAACTGTCCCAACATACAAAGGTTTTTAACCCTTAATGGACCTCACCGATTGGCATATTAAAAACATCATAGTCTAACACCTAGTGTAGTACCATAATCAAGTCTCAGATTATGTGTAACTTTTCAGGTTTGTGCATCTATTTCCAATGTCCAGAGCATAACTGAAAATTGGTCCAAATTCAGTGCTTCTAATAAACACCCACTAGATGTACTTGGGGTCTAACCCTAACAACTAAAACAAGCTGCTCCAACCCTTGACAGCACACCAATGTCAGTTTTGTCAAGATAAACTCCCCAAGTCTATCCAGTGGCTGAGAAATTGCTTCAATAATTATTTTTTTAATATATTTACAATGTTTTCTTTTTTTTTTCATTTTTTAAAATAAAAAATAAATTATAATTATTTAAGTAAAAATAATTATTAATTATATTTACACTTAAAAGTTGTGCCAATGCATATTTTATGGTTGGATAGGATAGTTAGGTTTTTTCCATCCCTTAAAACTTAAGAATTATAATTTATAAATTATAGTTAAACATTGAGTTTTTAATAAAATTATAATTGACCACAACATATTTCTTCATAAAACTATTAAAATATATTAATTTAACATATATACACCTCATTGAAACCTTATATTAACTTTTTAAGTATTATTAATGTATTTTTATAATTTATTAAAATATTTATAATGTTTTCATGTGTATTTATATGTATCTTAATTTTTGTCCAATACACGAGTATCCAAGGCATATCCCGATATGTCTTTTAAAATTTACTTCTTAATACACTTAGCATTTTCGATACTTTGAACCTTGGTAGTGTCAATGATGAAAAGGAAAAAAACAGGGAAAGGGAAAATTCTAACCCACGTTGCTCCGTTTTGTTTGACAAGCTTGGTTTGTAGATAAAACAATATATTATTATGTACATTACAATGTGTAATTATGTACATGGTACACCCCTTCCGCCATCCCATACAAGTCTAGAATCTCAATGGAAATATTTACAGGACAATTACAAATTGATGGTAGGAAAAGATCAAATTCATGTAATACTCGTAATGCCTAAGAGATTGGTACAAGTTTTTAATAAAAAATTACCTTGTATATGTTTGATTTTTCTTTAATGCCAAATCCAATTTTATGGGCGGAAAATTTTCATAGTTTTTGAAACATGGAGCCGACAGAAAGGGCACCTAGAGACAGCAGATGAGCATCTACGACAGAGTACGTGGCCACAAGGAATTATCGCTATATCTACCTCCGTGCTCAAGCAGATTCTGCACAGCCATGCAGCTTTTGCTGCGTCAATTTCTTTTTCTGCTACTTCAGCTTTTTCCTGCAAAAATTTCCCCCTATCAAAAAAATACGCTAAAAGAAAGAACAGTTATTTCCAGATTCAGACAGCATCCCTACTTAGAAAATAAATGTCATTATTTCAAAATCATAAAACAAAAGGTAGCCTCATCAGAACATGCCACATGGGGGATCATATGATATTACTTATTAGATGTCTATAGTTTCAAATTTAGATTTTCATATGGTCTATTTTTGACACATGGCAAAGGCTTATGTCTACAACAGCCCATCCAAAGCTTTGATGCTTGTGCTATGAATAGAATGCAGAGAAGGATCCGCTAGGCCCCCATATACCTGCTACATCGGAAGATTTTTCCACCAACTTCTCTAAACAACTATAAGTCACTGTTAGAATACAAGGCAAAGCGCAACTATATCACTGTTAGACATGTACAAGAACAAATTAGCAGGCCCAACCCATCTAGCATGTTGCACATGTTGAATTTCTTGCTTGCATCCCTGTAGATATCATGCACACGGGAATGCACCATTTCTGGACAATGAAAAATGTCTACCCAATTCCTTAATGTGTAGAACTGTTGCAGTGATAAAATAACCTCACTGTCTAATCTAGATCCCTAGTTGTTTTTGACTGGGGCTACACAAACCAGGGGGGGGGGGGTATTGGTGGAAACTCCTGCGTCTCTACTATTCTGAAGCCAGAGATGTACCAACTGGGCCACCAATCGGTTAGCATTTGGCAATATAGATCCCTAGTTTGAGGTCAAAGGACAGCATAGACAGTCTAACAGTGTCAGAGTGCAAAAGAAATAGTTATTATCAGCTCATCCAGGTCAGGTTTGTGGCTGTCTGAGAAGTGGCTTATTTCTTTAAATCTGGATCAAAAGAGGTCAGAATACTGTCTTTAATATTTTACCAGTTAAATCAAATCTGTAAAATGCAGCCAGATGTCCGTCAAAGCTTGACAAGAAGAGACTGCACATCCACTTAACGAGGTAGAAGCAAATAGAAAGTAGTAAAAAAACCAAGCAGAATACCTGCTCAAGTAGCAGCACTGCCTGAACTTCCTTGAGTTGCTCTTGCAGGTTCAAGGTTGTTTGCAGTAGGGATTGCTTCTCCACATCCATATTAATTCCAGCGGCAGAAAGCATGTCATGTACTGCCTGCACCAATTCTGCTGCTGAAACTCGACCATACTGGAGTTCCTTACTTTGCTGCAGTCAAAAAAGTAATCTTTGTGACCTTCATGCAATATCAATATTGTGCATCAACTTAAGGGTGCAGTTCCTAGTACATATGAAGTACATATGAAGCACACCTCCATCCAGTGAGCTTTCAGCCAACCATTTTCTTATAGTTCTGGACAAGGTAAAATTTAAATGTGTAGTCCTAACTCCTAAGCCAGTCCTGAACACAAGCATTCGTAGCCAGTCCCTAGTAGGGGTGTCAATGGACCAGTTTTTGGGTTGGACCCCATCCAAATTGATTTAATTAGGATGGGTCAATAAGACATTGAATTGGACCAATATCTGGTCCACTGATAGAAGATAAGAATACAGATCTCAATGGACCAGGTTTGGATTGGAACCAATTTGAGCAGATTGGATGGTCCAGACATTGAATTGGACTGGTCCAGAGTATTCATATTGGAGCATCATGTTTTGGCAGGTCTTTAGCATCTTGCCATTCAAATATGACTAAAGACCTGCCAAAACATGATGCTCCCAGGGCAAGCTGTGTATTTTCCATTCAATAACTTGATTTGGAAAGCATCTGTTGTGCTGGGACAAGATTTGTGGATTGCAAAATTGCTGTGTATGTACCACATGCACTGTTTACCTCTGTTGAACAATTGTTGTCCAGGTGGAGCTCGTCATGTTACAAATTATTGCTAGTATTATTGTATTAAAAGTGAAGCCACATAAAAACGGATTTATGACAAAAAGGTCACAAGAAGAAGCTCACACCTGAGAAGGTCCAGCTACGTGTCTTTCAGCACCTTTCAGTACCTCGACATCCATCTTGTTTTCCATATCCACATGCCTAGCATCAGTAGAGGGTGACATGGAACTCTCATTGGCTGTTGATATGGCTCTAAATGAGAATATCTGAGATGAGAGAAGAGGCTCAGTTATCCCTGGCACTGTCTCCACCTTAAACCTGTAAAGTGCTTGTCCTGCTGATGGCCTTGCATCTTCAGGAACTCTACCATACTTCAATTTTTCTCCATCCTTTCCTGTCCTCCATGCCACTATCTCTCCGGCATAGAAGGGTCTTAGTGGATGAAATTGCACCTGATGAGCATCCTGCGGCAGCAAGTCCTTGCCAAGCAACCAATTATGCCCAAATTTGGGCTCAATTTCTCCTTGTTCATACCCAAGTTTCATGGTACCAACAATTGCTTTCTCTGAATCCTGTGGACAGGATAATAATGGCCCAATAGGTAATGGGATTGGTGAGCTCAGTACCTGGCTCACAACAACAGCAATAACATCGAAAATGGAAATATAATGTGGAGGTTCAGCAACTAAAATACAAGTCTTCGACTGGTTGACAAATTGAAGAGTCCTATGTCCAGGTTCATTCTCCCACTCAGGAATAATGGGTTTCTTATTTACACGGGTAATGTCTAGAGACTTTGGAAGTAGAAGAAACCTAGTACGTAGGCACTGAACAAACTGCAATTTATCTGCAATGGATTCAAGTAAGTTTTGTACTCTCTCCAATGTCAGGCCTTCAAATGCAGGCATGTTACCGGCTATGCAATTCCCAATAGTCCATACTGCAACCTGAAATGATCTACTCAACAGCTTTTCCCTGATAATTGTGAGTGGAACTGTTCCAATGCTTTCAATGACTGCAAGTTGTTGTTCAGGATCCAGTTCCTATTACCAGATGCAGATTCATTTGAAAAAAGGTAGGACATGCATATTGGAGAAATAAAGAAATGATTAGGAAAGTTTTCGCAAAAATAGTGATTCATAGATAATCATCTTACCTCGACAACCGCTTCAGATAGCTTTCTAATGTCCAAGGTTGTGCATATTCTTTCTGGAAGATACGGGTGAACAAATCTTAGTCTTGAAGTGTCTATAGACCCGATAAACCTTGAGCCATAAGAATCAATATATACACATGATCTAGCTAGAACAAGTCTGCATCCATCATCTGGGACAATTGCTTCTGAACCAGATGCATCTGACTTGTTTGCCAGCATAATTCCATCACAAATAAATTGCAGAGTTTCCATCACTGCACGGAGTTCATTTGGATTTAGGCGCTGGTATCCACATTCCTTCTGGAGATTCAGCAAAATATCCTTTGCACGGTCAACTGATAGCACATCTTGAAGACCCAAATCCTTGAGAATCTTGACAAAAGGGAGGTAGATGGTAGGAAGTTCAAAGGCAAATGGAGAGAGGTTTATTGTCAGACGCACAAAAAGGGAGTTTGCTGTAACTAGTCTTGTTCCATTGGCAACTGCAATGAATGCTACTCTCTGCAATTCTGTTATATCTGAATGAGAACAAAAAGAATATAGTTAAATAATGGAGAGAGGTTCAAATGAATGCTCTAATTAGTCATGTTCCATTGGAAACTGCAATGACATCAGCACCCATATGGATGTGTAACCTAGAAAAAGATAAATCATAAAAATAGATAGTTCAATTGTGAAATGAAGGGTGTTGGAGGTAACGAAATGTTAGGAGTTTTATTTCTTTCATAATTAGGTGGTGGCTGTAATTATTTTCCCTTTTGTTTCTTTATTACTTACAAGGGGTATGATTGTAGTTTTGGCATTCATCATCAAATTAATAAAAGATGGGTGGCAGTTGAGAGCTGTTAGTTCAATATATTCTGGTTTCCAGCCCTAGTTCTCCTCTCTATTCTCTTCTCTTCTTCACATTTTCTCTTCTTTTATTCTTCTCAGTTCTGAATATTTTCTAGACTGTTTTCAGGCTTTATTTTATTTATTTCAGGTCTGATCACACGGTATCAGAGCCAAAGTGATTGACCTGGTCTGTTCCAGACACCATACAGTGATACAACCCTCTGTCTACAAATAACTTTCTCTAGATATTAATGGAAGACAAGAGGACTAAAAAGGGCTGATCACCCAATAGAAAAGAGGCAGCCATGGCCATTTTTCTGGAGTTGTTGGTGGTTTTCTAGATTCCTTCTAATTGGTGATTCAAAGGGGGACTAGTTATAGATGGTACAGGTTAGTTGCTTGATTCCATGGGTTTTCTATTGAATGATGTGTGAAAACAGTGTGGTGACACATGCTTTTCTATGCCCAACTCATGTTTTTGAAGGCATCTAGCAGTTAGAAAAGATTTTTTGTGTTTTCCCTGAGTTGTGGCTATAATTTTTATGTTTTCAGACTAGTGGAAATTGTTGTTTGGTGGTCTATCATCTTGGGGTGAGTTAACTTTTTGGTGCAGATTGCTGAAACAGTATAACAGCGTTCCCTTTTGAATTACGGCATCCACAGGAAGTAAGACTCTAGCATGCTAATACAGCTAGAATCTAACTGCTAGGGGGAAATTGAAATATATTAAAGACAATAAACCTGTTAAAGTGAGCCGAATAGGGGTAGTTTAGTCATCTTATGTTTGTTAAGTGATTTGCTTATGTGGCAGTTTTATTAGACACTCTGCCCCACACTTAAGTAAGGGCAGTTTAGTCTTTGTAAATGTCATTAGAATCTAAATGACTATTAAGGGGGTCGACTGAATGGAATAACCATCAGATTTCGACAGACCCTTCTTTTCTTTGTTCTTCT